TTTGCATAACAAGCAAACTCGGTTCACCTTTGGGAAAGAAAGCAGTCAACAGCTGCCTCCCCTCATTCTGCCTTCTTTCTTTTTCTTTCCTGTCTTTCTTCTTTTGATACCCCGATTTATGCTTTTTGGGCAGCATGATGTCTAGCCCCCAGGTCATTCAATCTGGGCTCACTGACGTTACACTTGTCACCGGTCGCTGTCGGGCGGACTAAACCATTTTGCGCCTCCAAGAGGGGGCCCCCAGAATGTCCAATATGTGGGAGGACTGTGACATAAAGTTCTTTCTCTCAGCTGATGTTATCAATATATTTGAAATAAATTATGACACCAATTAATTGGAGGGCCCAATTCATTCGAAATAAAAACATCAAAAAAAAAAAAAAAAAAAAAATCAGGATTTTCATGGGCCCCTCTCCCTACTCGGGCCCTGGGTAGTCAGGTCCACTTTTCCCCCCACTACCATGCCCATGTTGACCGTATGAATGGTTTCGTTTTCAAATAAATATTTGGAAACGAAAATATGCTTTGGTGTACTTTTACAGAGTTTTGCAATATGTATATAGCCTACCTGTATCAAAATGTATAATTTTCAGCAGCGGTTTGTGAGACAGCTGCCACGGTCAGAGGTATAACCAGCAGGGCAGCCGCTGGTTCTGTGGCACTGGCTTGGGGTCCACTCTCCCCTGGTGGAGTGGAGGTTGGCCGGGTTGCCTTCTATCTTCTTATTTATTTATTTATTAGTTGCGTTTGGATTCAGTTACGGCAGACGGATGGCAAGCTGAAATGGAATGAGGCCCACAGACGGCAGACAGCAGCTACAAAACAGTAGTGGAACGCACCCCATCCGCCCACAGTACAATGCTCTTAAAGCCCTACGCTATCAAAAGCTGGCAAAATACATTTAGAGATTATTATTTATTTTATTTTATGGCCTTGACATTAACCTGTCATATTGTTGAGTTATCAAGGACACTTCCGTGTTTTTGTGTGTGTACAGGACTGTTAAAGATATCATTGAGGAAAACGAGGTTGACGTGACGTGATTGAATCGGGGAATCCGTGTGTCCACCACGGGAGAGGATCCTAATTGACTTTATATTGGCATTGTTTTCATTGTTGCATTGAATGCGGTGTTAAGAGGTCGTGGTCATTTCACGTATTTCTGTGAGATCAGGTTGTAAACGAATTAATATCAGAAAATCATATTGATTTACTCAGCCTCACTGAAACCTGGCTGTGTCAAGATGAATATGTTAGTCTAAATGAATCCACTCCTCCCAGTCATAATAATACCCACATTCCTCGAGGCAGCGGCCGAGGAGGGGGAGTTGAAGCCATTTTTAACTCTAGTCTGATAATCAGCCCTAAACCTAAACTAGATTATAATTCATTTGAAAGTCTTGTTCTTAGTCTTTTACATCCAACCTGGAAAATCTCGCAGCCACTTTTATTCGTTATAGTGTACCATGCTCCTGGCCCGTAATCTGAATTTGTATCTGAATTCTCAGAGTTTTATCCAGTTTAGTTCTTAAATCAGATAAAGTTATTATTTTAGGCGATTTTAACATTCATGTTGACGTTGATAATGACTCCCTGGCTATTGCGTTTATTTCATTATTAAGGCCCGAACATACTCCGGCGGAACATACGCGGAACGGACTCCGCGAGGAATGTCCGCAGTCATTCGGGCTTCCATAGTCGAGCGCACTTCCGCGTTGTAGTTTCCTGTAAAAATGTCCGTGAAAATCCCCGCGATGTGAAAAATACATGCCGACCAGTCACTGGTGCGCGAAGCAGAGTCCGCAGGTACACAGGGCTTGCGGATGTCCGCTTTGAGTCCGCGCGGACCTCCGCGGAGTCCGTTCCGAGTACGCTCCGCGTATGCTAGGCTACTTAAGGAGGTCTTACCTTTAGTTAACACTCATATATTAGATATGATCAATATATCCTTATTAACAGGCTATGTACCACAGTCTTTTAAGGTAGCTGTAATTAAACCTCTACTAAAAAAGCCCACCCTGGATCCAGAGGTGTTAGCCAACTATAGACCAATATCTAATCTTCCGTTTCTTTCAAAGATCCCTGAGAAAGTAGTCGCAGACCAGCTGTGTGATTTTCTCCATGATATTAATTTATTTGAGGAATTTCAGTCAGGATTTAGAGTGCATCATAGCACTGAGACAGCACTAGTTAAAATTACAAATGATCTTCTAATTGCTTCAGACAAAGGACTCGTCTCTGTACTTGTTTTATTAGATCTTAGTGCGGCGTTTGACACTATTGACCATCAAATTCTGCTACAGAGACTGGATCACTTAATTGGCCTAAAAGGTTCTGCACTAAGCTGGTTTAAATCTTATTTATCTGATCGTTTTCAGTTTGTTGACGTTCATAATGAATCATCCTTACGTACTAAAGTTTGTTTTGGAGTTCCGCAAGGTTCTGTGCTCGGACCAATCCTATTTACTCTATATATGCTTCCTTTAGGTAACATCATTAGAAATCACTCTGTAAATTTCCCTTGTTATGTGGATGATACACAGTTGTATTTATTGATGAAGCCAGAAGAAAGTAATCAATTAACTAAACTTCATAATTACCTTAAAGACATAAAAACCTGGATGAGCACCAATTTCCTGATGTTAAATTCAGACAAAACTGGAGTTATTGCTCTTGGCCTCAAAGAACTCAGAGACTCTTTATCTGATGACAAAGTTTCTCTAGATGGCATTGCTCTGGCCTCTAGCATTACAGTAAGAAACCTTGGAGTAACATTTGATCAAGATTTGTCTTTTAATTCTCATTTAAAACAAACCTCACGGACTGCATTTTTTCATATGTGTAATATTGCGAAAATCAGGCCTATCCTGACCCAAAAAGATGCAGAAAAATTGGTCCACGCTTTTGTTACCTCAAGGCTGGATTACTGTAACTCTCTATTATCAGGTAGCTCTAGTAAGTCCTTAAAAACTCTCCAGCTAATTCAGAATGCAGGGGCACGTGTACTAACAGGAACTAAGAAACAAGATCATATTTCTCCTGTTTTAGCTTCTCTGCACTGGCTCCCTGTAAAATCCAGAATTGAATTTAAAATCCTACTGTTAACTTATAAAGCTCTAAATGGTCAGGCTCCGTCATATCTTAGACAGCTCATAGTGCCATGCTATCCCACCAGAACACTGCACTCTGAGAATGCAGGGTTACTCGTGGTCCCTAAAGTCTCCAAAAGTAGATCAGGAGCCAGAGCCTTCAGCTATCAGGCTCCTCTCCTGTGGAATCATCTTCCTGTTACGGTCCGGGAGGCAGACACCGTCTACACATTTAAGACTAGACTTAGACTTTCCTCTTTGATAAAGATTTTAGTTAGGGCTGGCTCAGGCTTGGCTTGTACCAGCCCCTAGTTAGGCTAACTTAGGCCTAGTCTGCCGGGGGACCCCCTATAATTCACGGGGTACCTTCTCTCCTTCTCTCTCTCTCTCTCTCTCTCTCTCTCTCTCGTATCCTATTACTGCGTCTTGCTAACTCGGCCATTCTGGATGTCACTAACTCGGCTTCTTCTCCGGAGCCTTTGTGCTCCACTGTCTCTCAGGTTAATTTATATTGCAGCGGTGCCTGGATGGTGTGACGTGTGTTGCCGTGGTCCTGCCAGATGCCTCCTGCTGCTGCTGTTATCATTAGTCATACTTCTACTGTTATTATACACATATGATTATTGTCACATATGTACATTATCAAATATTAATATATACTTTGAACATATTGTATCACAACAGTTAGAATTATAATTATAATATTATTACTTTCATTAATGTTGTTGTAAGCTTCTGTCATTACCGTCTGTCCTGCATATCTCTCTCTGTCTCTCTTTCTGTCTCATTGTGACATACGGATTACTGTTAATTTATCATGTTGATCTGGTCTGTACGACATCTATTGCACATCTGTCCGTCCTGGAAGAGGGATCCCTCCTCAGTTGCTCTTCCTGAGGTTTCTACCGTTTTTTTCCCCCGTTAAAAGGGTTTTTTTTGGGGGAGTTTTTCGTTATCCGCTGTGAGGGTCCTAAGGACAGAGGGATGTCGTATGCTGTAAAGCCCTGTGAGGCAAACTGTGATTTGTGATATTGGGCTTTATAAATAAAATTGAATTGAATTTGAAATTGACATATATATATAGAGAGAGATAGATAGATAGATGAGAAAAAAACTGATGGGTAAAAAAAAAGGTAAATTATTTTGGGTTCTCCTGCAAAACATTTACAAGCATCAATCTATTTTTTTCTCTACCATCTTTCTCCACCAATGTATCATTTCATTGATCAATGGATCAATTCATTGATCCATTGAAAACACGGCAGGTTAATCAATAATGAACATAATTGTTAGTTGCAGCAGTTTGGTTGAAATGAATAGAAACTCTGTCCAATGGTTCCATCATAAAAAGGACCTGTGGTAAATCAATCCAGGGTCAATATAGTATGAGGTGTTAGGTGATGTGAGCAGAGGCATCTCTGCCGAGGCTCTACAATGACTTGTGTTGATGAGGGCATGGCACACTTACGCTGTGTGAGGACGTCAGGCCGACGGGAGCGAGCAGCAGCAGGACAAAGGTCAGGGCCTGGCACAGAGTCAGTTTCCTGCAGACAGGCAGAGAAACAAACACCATCACTCAATAAGGAACACTGCCCTCACTGTTTAACAAACCATGCACACAGGAACTTACAAACACAGACAGGAGGATTTGGAAATTGTTACAGCAGAGGTGTTTGAGAAAAAGAACAAGAGGAAACAAAAAGGAAAGACACGACTGGCACTCAAACAGCAGAGGTCTTTAGGTCAGTGATAATATCCACAAATAAGCTGCTGTTCTATTGGGAACCCCCGTGGGCAGAAGCCAAGGTCAGGAATGCCCCCCCCATCCAGCAAGTATCATTAATTCTGCCTGCACGGTCCCCTCACCCACCCCAACACAGCCTTATTAACTCCCACACAGCCTGAGAGGAAGGGACCGCCTGCCTGACTGAATCCCACCTCTCCCCTCACCCAGCCCTGTTCAACTGTTGACCTCTGTTACATCAAGAAATGCTAGAAAACCTGTATAACCTGCTGTGCTCACATGAAGCCTTTTAAGTCCACTAATCACAATAAGAGCTCAGTTGATATTAACAGCCGGCTGCACCGACTCAAATTTAGCCTAAATGTTTACTACGTTTTTTACCTCATATTTTGCTAATTTAATGGTCTGAACAAGCGAGAGAGACAGAGTAGAAATCAGTGCGTACCCGGCATATTTTGAAATCTAACTTGGAGAGTTATTTTGTCCACTTCAGAGTTGGAATAGTGGAGAGACTTATGTTAACCAAGCCAGTTTTCGCAAGTTTTATTTTGACTTCTGTTGAGTTGAAGCGTGTTTTACAAAGAGTTAAAGGAATACTCCAACGATTTGGGAGTTATGCCCTTTCTCTACCATTTTCATATTGAGACAACATGATCGATATCTTTTTTTGTGTCTGTACGTCCAGTGGCTGGGTCTCAGCGGTTAGCATTGTGACTTAGCTTAGCGAATACAATTGAAGTCTATAGGGGGTCAGTAGCCTTCTCGGTAAAAGTGAACAAATAAACATTACAGAAACCCTGAAGCTGGTATTTCTATATGTGCATTTAAAATAAACATGTTTAAACATTTATTTGAAAAACGAGAGTCCTTTTTAGTCATTTTAGAAGATGTTTGATACAAGGAACTATAGTGTGTTTATGCCCTGTGCGGAGGGATACAGGGGTGAGCAACAGGGGTGAGCAACAGCTGCAGCTGGCTCTGGGACAGGTGCGCTAGGTCACTCGGGAAAAGCAAACAAAGAGACGACACAGACGTTATTACTCACTCGACTGAAAGCTGTCCATCAGCTCAGGCAGGCCTGGGGCGTTTTTTCCAGTTTATCTTAGGAACATGAAAAAATGTTTCAATCACGCCAGGACTAGTGATTGCTGCAAAGTTTTCACTCCTTGTGATGCACTCTCTGCAGCGGTTTTCCTCCTGATGATATATCTCTAGCCTCCCCAACGATGGTAGCACCAAATCCCATTCTGTGCAGCAAAATGATTCCACCTCCATAGGCCTAGGTTGGCAAGCCGTGCAGCTACACCACCAATCCTCCCCTGACCTCCATCTCCCCTCGGCCCCTTGCTGTTCCGCTGCCTCGGAGGATTCAGCCTCTCTTCTCGCCCGCTTAGCATCCAACACCTGGAGTTCCTCATCTGTATACTCCAGCTCACACAGGTATGGCTCTGGATCTGTGTCCGCTACAAGAAACTCTTCAAAATTGCGTTCAAAGTCGTCCATTGCAGCTACTATAGTCCGGAGATATCATTAGGCTAAAATAACAACTGAGTTTTGTTTACAGGCTACGTCTGCGCCTGTGGCTGCTCACCGGTGTATCCCTCCGCGGATCACAGCGCAGGATGTAAACACACTATAGTTCTGTGTATCAAACTTCTTCTAAAACGACTAAAAGGGACTCTCGTTTTTCAAATTAATGTTTAAACATGTTTATTTTAAATGCACGTGCAGAAATGCCAGCTTCAGGGTTTCTGTAACATTTATTTGTTCACTTTTACCGAGTAGGCTACTGACCCCCTATAGACTTCAATTGTATTCGCTAAGCTAAGCCGCAATGCTAACCGCTGAGACCCAGCCACTGGACGTACAGACACAAAAAAGATATCGATTATGTTGTCTCACTAAGAAAATGAAAAAAGAAAAGAAAGGGCATAACTCCCAAATCGTCAGAGTATTCTTTTAACAAGTTAATTGAGCTAGTCTCAATTTGAGAAACTTGAATTCAGAGTTGTGTTTTTCTGTTTATTAAGGAAAACAGGTGTAACAATGTTTCCTTTCCTAACGTTCTGTGAGTCTATTTGGTTTATTTATTAGACTAAAAAAGCTACAAAAGCATTTACTCGCTGGATGAGTGGTGAAATGGTCAGACATCATTGCACCTTTGAGTTGGGACTGTTTTGTCAAGTAAGTAATATGATGTTTATGCTGAGTGAAATATCCAAACCCACCCTCCATGTTTTTGTGGCTTCACAAAATATCAGATCTTTGGAAAACTTAGGATCTCTGCTATAATTTACATAAAGTTCTGAGGGTTTAAATAATGTTTGGCTGTGCTGAATGAGTTTGTAATGACTGACCCACTGGCAGGTCAGCAATAAAGGGTGAGTATTTGTCCTCAAGTACAATGACTGAATGTGTCTCATCACAGTCTGTTTTTGTGTTGTTTTCACCATGATGAACACCAGTGAATTAATTTGACATTGTACAATGTGTACCAGTTAGAATGTGGATACAACCTGTGCTCAACAGGAACCAATGGCACAGGTTGGGGCCGGGTTCGGACGGGTTTTGTTGTTTAAGTGATAACACTTGAATGCAACACATAAGCCCTGTTTCCACCAAGCAGTACGGTACAATACAGTTCAGTTTGGTACGTTTTTTGTCCGTTTCCACAGTTAAAAGTTGTGGATGATACCAATGGAACTGTTCCATACCATCCCCATTTTGGGTATCCCTTCTGTTGGGATACCTAGCACACAGATCTGGTACAAAAAGGTGTAGCTGTGAACACTGCAGTCCGTTGATTGGTCAATAGCGGATGGTCACTGTGCTTAGGGCTGAGTTGTGGCTGGTTTTGAGGCTTATGTAACCACTGTTCATACCGTGGAGAGTTTTATTAGTAAACTATAACTATAAAAAAGATGATAAAATAAAATCACCACGATTCCCGAGCGTGGCACCGTTGCTGCTCACCGCTCCCTCAGGGGATGGGTCAAATGTGGAGAACAAATTTCACACACTCAGCTGTGTGACAATCAGTGGAACTTTAATCTTTAATCTTTAAAATTAAAAGATGTTTTGCTGCCTCTTGCAGCAGCTGTACTAAATGAAAACAGCATAACTGCCAGCAACTTTTAAGGTGGAATATTAACTTGTAATATTACTCAGTACATGAGTTGACGCCATGAATCAATCAAAACACCTTAAATTTCTCTGACAAATTAAATGGGTGTGACTTATAGCCTAAATTAAACAGTCCCTTCAGGATGTTACAACGTAGCGATCATAACAATTAACTCAAATTAAGCCAATCTCCATGAATTCTGTGTAACCTTGCAATTTTGTCCAATCACTGCAACTTTACCATATATTTGACTGTCTTAAAATGGGTAAAATCTCATTTCATTGTAGAGGTGCCTATTGATTTGCTCACCACTGCTGTGTCCCAGGCTAAATGTGTGCCTGGGACAGAGCCACACACACAGTGACAATGCTAACTGTTAGCATCACATGCCTAATGGTTGTTAACCGGTTTAAAGACCAGTCAAGTCAAGTCAAGCCATTTCAGTGTCGGTGTGAGATTGCTGGGACCGCTTACAGCTCGTGTTGGATGTTAGCCACTGCTGCTGGTTTAGCTCATGCCAGCTGTTGCTGCCCCCTCCCCCTCTACCATCACAAAGAGATTCCAAGTCGGTGGGAAATACTAAATGCACTATACAGTAGACTCCAAATCCAAGATTGCATTGCAACTATTTTTGCAGTTTTCCCTTGCTGCCACAATTTTACTGGAAAAAAACACCTCAAAATATGGATCGAAATGCCTGATTTACAGCAATTTTCTTTTAGAAAAACTGCTGTAAATCAGGCATTTCAGGTTGCAACAATCACAAAACCAGCCTGCAAAATTCTGAATGACTGTCACAAAGGCTAAACAAGCATTGTGGACAAAAGTCATTATTTTCCTACAATCAGTCATTTACATGGTGGCACGTGTAATCACTGTACAAAGGCAAGCTGTAACCATCATAACAACAATATCTTTAAAGAGACAAAATCAGTGCTTTAGTACATTAACGGTGTCGGGCTCAGGTTGGGTTGAGACCTAAAAACAGAATGTGTGTCGGGTTCTGGTTGCGCTAATTTGCTACTCTCTCTGGCTTGGTTAAGTTCAGACAGAAATATGCAGCCCGGCGTGCACTCTAGTACCAACCTACTAAATATAGTAGGACTTTTTTGACAGCAGGCAAGTCCAGTGCTACACTAAAACAAAGAATCTGAGTTTGATCAGCCTTGATATCATTTAGGAAATCATGCTGACCTTGGAGCTGAACATTCCTGTAACAAAAGCAAAAGCAGTTATAGGCAACTGTTGCACCAACACAGTAAGCCACTTCTGATGTGCTACAAGAAAAGACCACTACTGAGTCTTGTGTTGAGTCTATAGTGTTTGCTCTACCAACTGCCTCCTCGCCTTCTTTACCTCTGGGCAAACACAGTGAGGCAACTGTGACTATCGGTCTTTTTCTCCCTCTGATTCATCAAAGGGACAAGTGCCTTTTCTCAGAAGTGCTGGTGATTCTGGGAAAGCCCTTCTTTTTAATTGATTCCTAGCACTGCTGTGCTGTTGACAGCAGTAGTGTGTCATATGTATAAGTGTCTGTTTTGTGATGAAGCATGTCATTTATTTTCAACAACACAGTTAGAGGAAAAATATCAGACAGGTTGCATTTGGAAAGTTGCAGCAACTTAATCTTTTTTCACTGACCTTTTCTCCCACATCGTATTTTGTCCTTCATCAGC